CCCCACTGCAATAAAAGTCTCTTTCATCAATTTGTCCTCTCCCCTTTCTGACACTAGGTCAAGCCCAGGACGATTGCAGTCAGGCCCAGGGGAGAGAGAAGAGTGTGAGTCAAACACCGCTCACCCCCACCAAGGGAGACCCCCTACCCTTCCCTAACTGCAGGGGGACAGGGCCAAAGCTCCAGCACCTGTTTCCACCCCACAACTCAGGGATGTGAGACCCTCCATGCACACAGACACATACTCACAGCTCTGGTCCCAGCAAGCAGGGACACACACACACGCACGTGTAGAAATTCTGGTCATGCTAGGCCGCAGCTACGCTTGCTAAACCATAGCTAAGCTAAGACGCCACAAGGGACCTTGGAAGCAGCAGGCTCCACAGACCGCTGCATGCCCTGATGACCGAGTGAGCTAAAACCCAGGTTCCAGGCACCTGCTACCCATTAGGTTGATTACCCGACTCACTGGTGAATTGCCAATAAATGTAGCCCGAACACATGTACAAGGCAATCATCACACAATGAATGGGTGAATCGTGAAGTTAATGTAGACTGGCCATATGTGCAAAGTAACTGTCATGCAATGAACAGGTGATTCATGTAGCATGGCTACACATACAAAGGAATCACCATGTGCAATAACTGAAGCTTGGCCACGTGAGCATTGACCCCAGCCACGCGCTGCGGCTCAGGACATGAGCAAGCTCTTACATGAACACGGACCAGAGGGACCCCGAGTGCGGGCTGCAGCAAGTCAGGGAGGGGACGAGAAAGAAAGGGAAAAATACCCAAACCTAAACTGAATACCCTCACTCCTTGTGGGGCAGGGAGAGAGAGAAAGAGAAATCACTTGTGTCTTCTTTCTTGTAACCTTCTCAGCTGCAATTTGTACACAGGGAAGTGTCCCAAAAGAGTTTCCCCAACCCAACCTTGTATCATTGAGAGCGTCTACCCCCGGCAGTAAAAGTGGGGACAAAAATCCATAACAGGTAGTTAGCTGGAAAGCAGCAAGAAAACCACCTATGGAGGTTGCTGGGAGTCTCCAGGACTGGCAAGGGTGCCAGCTGCAGCCCCAGCCCCAGCTCTGGTGCCGAGAGCAGTGGTGGTGGCACAGGAGCAGATATGGGGGGCAGCGCCCACCCTGCAATCCACATGCTGCCCAGGGTCAGGGGGAGGAGGGCCACCCGCGGGGTGAGAGGGCAGCAGGACAGGCCCTACGAGGAGAGACTGAGGGACCTGAACCTGTTCAGCCTCAGCAAGAGGAGGCTGAGGGGGGACCTGGTGGCTGCCTACAAGGGGAGATCAACAGCAAATAGGCAGAGCCCTTTTCTCCCCAGCACCACCTGGGGTGACAAGGAACAATGGTCATAAGCTGGTGGAGAATAGGTTTAGGTTAGAGATCAGGAGGCAATATTTCACAGTTAGGGTGGCCAAAATCTGGAATCAACTTCCCAGGGAAGTGGTCCTCGCCCCTACCTTGGGCAAATTCAAGAGGAGGTTGGACGATCACCTGTCTGGGGTCTTGTGAAGAGCAAGACTACTGGAAAGGAGGGAGCATCCACCCCTGAGGATGGACAGCTTAGCAGGAATCAAAGATGGGCTCCCTCCTGGCTGCCTGGGTAGAAATGTTCCTTTTTCTCTCCTGCCCTTGGTGGGAGCACCGGTAAAACGAGGTGCGTGTCTGCCCCACTGTCCCCTCACCCCATATCAACCCCTGCTGGAGACTCCTTACCAGGCGGCACCAGAGTAATGGAAGGCAGGAGTGCCATTTGGAGAGCAGCTGATCTCGTAGTGCCCATGTGCTGCTGCACCATGCTCTTCACCATAAAGATCCCATGCCTGAGGATGAGGTTGCCCAAGCTGTGGGCCACACATCCCCTGAAGATGCACAGCCTGATCTTATATGCATCCAGCTCCTTTGCACGCCACACATCAGCAATCACTCTGCAGTGCTGGTGGGCCAGGGGCACACAGGTGGCTGCCCCCTGGCACAACACAGTGCCAGATGGGGACCCCTCGAAAGAGACAGTGCAGTGGTCAGGCCCTCATGGGGGAGCAGGGTAAGGGAGGAGCAGAGGTGTCCCACACCCTAGAAGCTTGGCGGGGTGGGGATGAAGGGAAGATTCTCCCCCCCATCACTGGGGGACACCCTATAGGACATCAGGGTTCCCCCAGTGTTTGGGGAGGGGAAGGCAGCGACCCTGGACACCCAGGTTCTGTTCTCACCTGGCAGCTGGTCCTGGCACTGGCACTGGATGGGGGCAGGTGTGGTGGAGGGAAGGGTCACTGCACCCAGCACCAGAGAGCAGGGATCACAGTGCCCCCGCTGCCCCCTGGCCCAGGGGAGAGAGAAGAGTGTGAGTCAAACACCGCTCACCCCCACCAAGGGAGACCCCCTACCCTTCCCTAACTGCAGGGGGATGGCCAAAGCTCCAGCACCTGTTTCCACCCCACAACTCAGGGATGTGAGACCCTCCATGCACACGGACACATACTCACAGCTCTGGTCCCAGCAAGCAGGGACACACACACACGCACGTATAGAAATTCTGGTCATGCTAGGCCGCAGCTACGCTTGCTAAACCATAGCTAAGCTAAGACGCCACAAGGGACCTTGGAAGCAGCAGGCTCCACAGACCGCTGCATGCCCTGATGACCGAGTGAGCTAAAACCCAGGTTCCAGGCACCTGCTACCCATTAGGTTGATTACCCGACTCACTGGTGAATTGCCAATAAATGTAGCCCGGACACATGTACAAAGCAATCATCACACAATGAATGGGTGAATCGTGAAGTTAATGTAGACTGGCCATATGTGCAAAGTAACTGTCATGCAATGAACAGGTGATTCATGTAGCATGGCTACACATACAAAGGAATCACCATGTGCAATAACTGAAGCTTGGCCACGTGTGCCAAACAGTGATCACACAAGGAACAAGTCAATCGCATAATAAATGTAGCCTCACCACACGTGCAAAATAATTTTTACAAAATGAACAGGTGAATCACACAATAAATGCAGCCCGGTCACACTTGCAAAGTAATTGTCAGGCAATGACCAAGTGAATCATGCAAAAACTGTACACTGGCCACACGTACAAAAAAAGCGGAATTCGGAGTATTTTTTTTAAGTTGCTTTTATCTTTTGAGAGTCACAGACTGACAAACACCCCCACTCCCTTATCTTTAAAATGGGTTGGGCTTGGTTGGGTCTTGCTTTTAAAGGCAGTGCGACTTTTTTTTCTCCTGAGACCTGGCAACCCTGGCCCCATGCCCCAAAACTCAGGTGCCTCTTTCAAGAAACCTTTACAGGTGTTGCTCCCCACAGGGGATCCAGCCCTGCAAACACAGCTTGAGGGTGATGCTGAGATCCATGCAGAACCGGGAGGGCATTTGGCGTTGGACAAGAGAGGCAGCAAACTCCCCTGGATAAGGTGGAGGAAGGGGACACGCGGGTCTAGCATACACTTGCACTGTGTTTCTACCTTGCCCTTGGGCCCGGTGCCCTAGAGGGACCTGTCTCCCTGCTCCCACACAAAGATGTTTGAGGGAGAAGCGCTGACAGGGCTGGAGCAGGATCCCAGGGCGTTACACCCAGGATGTGTCTGGCCAGCGTTCGCTCTAAGTTGTGCGGTGTGTGCAGCCACGCAGGTGCGCCTGGGTGGCCGCACACCTTACAGGAAACGCTGTGTCTGGCATCTTGCATGTTATCCAGACCAGTACAAAAGAATCCAAAACAAGTCCTTCCACATGACATGTGGTATTGGGATACTAGCGATCAGGGAGCATTCCCCAAGTGACAACATGCTGCGTTTCACCCAGAGGATGTCCTCAGACTCTTCCCACACTTCCACAGGAGAGGCAGGACCTGCCACAGGCTGCACCCCCTTCCCCCTGCCCGCATGTCCCTCGACTGTCCCCTGGCCACAGGCTCCTTCAAAACGGCAGAGTCCTTGCTGCACAGCAGTGCGTGGGAGGGAGGCATCGAGTGTGACCGACTCCTGCGCCCAAGGGTTTGCAACAGCCCCTGGAGCACGGTAAATCCTTGGCTGGGAAGGGGCTGGGAAGTGACAGGGAGATCTGCCCTGCAAAGGGTTATGGGCACTGGTTGGTTGGTTCCTGACTCGCAGCTCTGGAGAGGGCAGAGAGCCCAGCCACAGGGATACCATGCCCAGTGCTGGGGCTTTCTACCAGACACTCATTACAGAGTGCTGCAAAGGCCATGGGGGGCAGCAGCCACCCAGGGGTACAGACTGAGAAGCAAAACCTGCCAGACTGGGCTCAGGAGGTTGCAGCACCAGCTCCTGGCAGACCCGATGGGCACAGGAGATGGCCAAAGACAGGCCCTGGGGACATTTGGAGCCAGCTGTCTTGGGGAGGTCACCCTATTGGGCAGGTGCTTCTTCTCCCTGCCGGCTGCTTTTAGAGAACGATGGGGAAGGCACAAGCTCCAAGACTGATACAAAGACCATCCCCTCACAGGTTTCCCCAGTGCCTGGGTTCATCTCTGCCTGAGGTGTCTCCTATTAGCCCCTGCCCTATATCATACCTTGGGCACCAGCCACTGGGTCCTTTGGGTTCTGCGGTGCCCTACAAGGCCCAAAGACTACCTACGATTTTTCTACAGTCCAGCAGCAGGAGGCGGCTTCCCTGAATTCAGCCACTGGTGGGAGCTGAACAGGTCGGCATCCGCGAGCCTTCCTTGCACTTCTGACAAATTATGGATGGTTTGGGGGGCAGAATCACTGGTGTTTAACCAGGCGGGAGGAGTCGTGGAAGTTATCCTCATGCACAGAGGACTCATGTCATGTCTCCCCTGCGTGGATACATGGGTGCCTGTAAAGGCTGGAGGATTGGCTGAATCTCTTTCCCACACACTGTGCAGTGACGTGCCATCTCCCCTGTGTGGACGCACTGGGGAGTGGCCGGGATGGAGGATTGGGTGAATCTCTTCCCACATTCAGAGTAGTGATGTGACTTCTTTGCTGTGAGGATCTACTGGTGTGTGGCCAGGTGGCAGGACTGGGTGAAGCTCTTCTCACACACAAACCACTGATTTGGCTTCTCATCTGTGTGCATACACTGGTGTCTGGCCAAGTTGAAGGAGTGGGTGAGCCTCTTGTCAGAGTCAGAGCACTGATGTGACTTCTCCCCTGTGTGGATGCATTGATGCTGGGCCAGGTGGGATGAAAAAGGGAAGGTCTTCCCACACTCAGGGCACTGATGTGATAACTCTCCTGTGTGTGGGGACAGGATAAATGATGGGTGAAGTTCTTTCAACACTCAGAGCACTTCTGCCATGTGTAGATTCGCAGGTGGGAGGAATTGGTAAAGCTCTTCCCACACACTGCGCTGGTGTCGCACCAGAACAAATGAAGGGGGGAAGCTCTTCCCACACTCAGAGCACTAATATGGATTTTCCCCCTTATGGATGCACTGGTGTTGCACCAGATTAGAGGAATGGGTGAAGCTCTCCCCACAGACAGAGCACTGATGTGCACTGTCCCCTGCGTGAATGCTGTGGCATGCACAGTAAGGGGGCGCTACTACATAGAGCCACCCACCTCACTGTGCCAGGCCCAAAACTATGCTTCAGACGTCTTCCCAGGGGCCTACATCCGGCCATCCCCCTTCCTGGAGAACACACGCAAGCCTGGGACAGTGATGCTGCCACCTGGGCACTGGTCTCTGTTAGGGCTCTGTTCAGCCTGGTGTACACAGACACGGCCAACATTGGGAGTACTCTGCCCACTGGTAATGGTTCTGGGTGCTTCTTATAGCCTGAAGCCTTCAAAGTCCCTTCTGTACTGAAGGAAAGTAAATAGCCAAACCCACATTAGCCAGCCGAGCAAAAGGGGCAATAAAAGCTTGTCTCTCCCCTCTTCCCTCAGGAATTCACAGCCAGGCACACTATAACAGATAGCTTTATTGATCAGAGAGGGAGAGAATGGAGGAGGGATATGGAACAAAGGAATTTCAGAAGAAAACGCCTTGAGCAAAACAATAAATTAAGCCTTTCAAATATGGGCACGGGGCTGCTTTTTAAAATGTGGATAAATTACCTAGTCCTATTCTACTGGCTTAATTCAAACTCTACTCGTGGTAGAATCATCCGAAGAGGCTCTGAGGAGGTCCAATTCTTGTCTGAGTCCCAAAATAATTGCCACAGGAAGAGAGAAAACTTCCCTCCCTGCAGGATTTTTTACAGCCTGGTGGCCTAGGTGACCAGGTTGATCCAAACAGCCAGTGTTTAAAAACAGATTGAGGGGGAAGAGCTGGAATGGCCCAGTCCAGGGATAGAGACAGAGCATTGGTGCATGTCCAGATAGGAGGAATTGGTGAAATGCTTTGAACACACAGGGAAATGATGTGGCTTCTCCCCTCTGTGGATGCGTTGGTGCTAGGCCAGGTGGGACGAAATACTGAAGGTCTTCTGACACTCAGGGAACGATGTGGTACCTCTCCTGTATGCATACGCTGGTGTGTGGCCAGGCTGAAGGATGGGTGAAGCTCTTTCAACACTCAGAGCTCTGGTATGACTTCTGACCTGTGTGAATATGCTTGTGGGTGGTCAGGGTATAGGACACAGTGAAGCTCTTCCCACACACAGAGCACAGTTGTGGCTTCTCCCCTGTGCCCATACACTGGTGTGTGGCCAGGCTGAAGGACTGGGAGAAGCTCTTTCCATGCTCAGCACTTCTTCTCCCATATGTAGATATGCTAGTGCCAGGGCTGTAACAATTTTAAGTTAGCAATTTAAAGTTTGCTATTATGAATTAAGCTTGTTATTGTACTTTTGTATCTTGTTATTGTATTTTTATATAGCAAAACAAGTATTCTTTCTTTTTGTATTTTTTTTTATGATACTTGGATGTATGGATGAGTGTAAAGTGATTGGTAAGAGCAGAATTAAGCTATGTGTTAACAAACAAGTTACCAAATGGTGAGCTATGCTAAGAGGAGGCTGAATAAATTCAGAATCCAGTCCGAACCAGGTGAAGAATAAAGATAAACAGAAAAGATAAGACTGCAGACAAGGTCTGCAACATCTCACAGCTAGAGACGCTGGACACAGCCCACACCAGCGACAATGGAAGAATGTTGTAAAGCAGTTAGTGACAAGCAACACCTACGGACGATGATGTATGAGCCTAACCACTTGTCAGAACGGAAAAGTACTGAGATTTTAGACAAAGAAGCTACAGCGTCAGGAAAGGCAGACCAGTCACCCAACACCAACTTGATAACCCCTATAAAGGAGAGAGACTTAGCATCAAGAAGTGGGAGACGCTCTGCAAAACTTCACTGGAACACAGACGTGTCTATAATGCCCCGTTTCTAATCTCTCACGCTCACTAGGCTGGCCACCTAAGTGTAGCAGTGAGCAACGGACTTTGGTAACTATAACAACTCCAGGGTGAATGTGAGTGTGTGTATGTGACGTCTATAATGTTTTTGTAGTTTTAATAGACACGGCATCTTGCCTTATCCCCCTCACTAGGTCTCACTTGTCAATTGAGCTAATTGGTAATTTGTGCAACAGGACAAATTGATGAAGCTCTTCCCAAACACAGAACACTGATGTGGCTTCTCCTGTGGGGATACGCTGGTGCTGGGCCAAATGTGAGGACTGGGTGAAGCTCTTCCCACACACAGAGCGCTGATGTGGCTTCTCCCCTGTGTGCATGCGTTGGTGACAAGTAAGTTTAGATGAACTGGTGAAGCTCTTCCCACACTCAGAGCACTGATATGGCTTTTCCACAGTGTGGATGTGCTGGTGCCGGGC